CACTAGACAAAACAGTATTTGAAAATGAGCTGATTTTATCTAGTAACATCTGTCTCAAAAAACAATACAATTAATCTAGGAAAATAATACTTACTTTGTTGTAAGACTGTTCATCGTTCAATAATTTTGAATCTACGCACCCATGCACTCATGACAAAATAAAAGTAGTAGCGCTATTTCCCGGTTTCTTCAACATTTGAAATATTCAAAAACCGTTAATCTATAATACACTGCAGCGATCAAGAGGATTCTTGGCTGTTTTCAAAAAAAAAAAAAAAAAAAAAAATTTTTGATTATAACTTGAAAATGATTTATGTAGTAAACATTGAAATTGTGCAAAAGTGGAATTACTCTAAAAAAAACTTTGGCTGCGCAAATACTTCATTGCATCAGCAGTCCGTGTCCCTTATTCATAGAAATGCTGTACTGAAATCAACAATTGCTGCATATTACTTCTACTAAAGACATTATTCTGTTAAAACAAAGACTTCTACTTTACAAATGCAGATTGTTTTCATTATGGAAAAGCAAGAAACTGTTAGACTAATTGCGGAACAGGTGAAGCAAATTAATTAGACAAGAAATTTTATTCTTCTGCAGTGGAAAAAAAGTAAATTTCTTGCCGGAAGATTGATTTTTTGAAAAGCAGTTATGTATATTAAGAACAGTAACTGAATACCATTTGCATTTTTACAAATGACCAGCCCTTAAGATATTTCTTTCCTCAAATCAAGCGCTCACTTCAAAGCAACTGTCCTTGCGCAAAAGACTGCTCTGTACACTACACCCGTTTTACTCTTGACTTTTTGATCCGCCTGAAAAATTATCCTGACTACTCAAAAAGAGTTTAATTTTTACAAAAGGTTGGTTTTATTACAAAAAGTTTGATTCATTTAAAACAAAAATAAGCTGACAAAAAAACTGTGATTAAAATAAAGATTTATGAGTTTTCTTTCAAAAGTCTATTTTTAGTATGTACCTTTGCGAATTGCACAATTTTACACGGAATCAGTTTTTCAGTTGCTTTATTGCAGTGTAGGTTTTTTTTCAAAAATGAACAAATACTCTTGAAATTGTGAAAGATGAACAGAGTTTTCTCTGGGATTTAAATGAAGATGAGCAAAATACGTACAAACAGCACGGTTTAAGATGGCCACCAAAAGCTAAACAGTCCTTGAGAAGATGTCATACCAGTAATGGGCTGGTGACAGGTAACAGATGTTATTATTGTATTGACTGATCGCCACCACGATTGTTGTCGGCATATTGTGCATCTGAGGATTGATTTTTACGGCACAAGTTAACCCCTTCAACAGAATATGTGGCAGCGAAGGGAACATATTATAAAGAAGTTAAGCGAGAAGGAAGAAGAATAAAAGGGAAATTAGAAAATGATGAAAAAAAAGAAGATTCTGTGTTTTCCTAAAACCTGTGAACCTTGAAATTTCTTATTGGATTTATAGTGGAATCGTAGAACAAGCAAAAGAGTATAAGTAATTTTTAAATACTTCTAGAAGGCACCTTTCTTACCACCTTCTTCTCTCAATCTTATCGATCAATACAATGGAGGGGGATCAAACGCTCATTTCTGATTGCGCAACAAATTTCTGAAAATCAAAAAATTCAATTTAGAAAGAATAGAACCTGAAAAAATTATTTGAAAAATTTAATTTTTTTTTAAACATCAGGGTCTTTACTGTCTTACGGGCAATTTTTTCAAAAAATAGCAAAGTAAAAATTTCTCTGTTTATGTTTATACTTATTCTTTTAGCTTCAAAAATTTTTTTATATATTCCTTTCAGGTGTAAAAACTGAAACTTTCTCTACATATCACATGTGATAAACAAAAAGCCTATACAAGATGATAATAATGAAAATAAAAGTGATAATAAAAGAAGTGGAACCATTAATCTTTAATTAATTTGGTAAAAAAGAGGCAAAGGAAAAAACTTTTCATTCACTACTGCTCGCTTTCTGATGTCCAGCTTTCTAAAGTGAAACAGACTGGGAACGCGCACAAATTGAATTCATCTGGAACTGCTATGCTACCGAAATGATGAAACTGCGGTAAAGCGATTGCAAGAAAGAAACTTATTTTTTTTATATTTTCAACTAAAAGTTTTTGTCCCTTATATATGTAACAATTATTTGGCGTTTTAGCTGCTCGAAATGGAAAATATGAAACATAACTGTAACCTATAAAAATTACTGTAACTCACTTCTCCACAAAAATCAGCGACAACGATCCGATGATCAGCACGATATCAGATCACTGTAAATAGATGGTGTATTCTTAGTTCCGTTATGATACTGAAATTCTGCTTTATTTAATCAAATAACTTTTACAGATGGGTGCAACAACAATACCTTTGAGCTACTCCGTTCCGCTATAGGTTATCAATTACGAGTATCGGACATTGTAAGAAAAGAGGGCAAAAGCAACGATTTAATACATGATTTCTGCGTTCCCGCTCTTCTTGCACCTTTCTACTTCTTAATAATAAATAAATTAGTTCTTTGACGTAGATAAAACTGTTGCTCGAAAAACATAAAAATGAAATTTTATGAAGGGAAAAGATAGCTTTATAAAAACATCCCTTTTTGGTTTTTTGCGGGCAAAAAAACAAAATACTAAACAGTTAAAACAGTATAAAAATAAACTAAATCAGCACCTCTTTGTTTCACTCAACTATTCTTAGTAGAAGTGTTACATACATTGCCTTTTATTTCAAATCCGTTTCCGAGAATTATAGCAACGTCAAAAACACCATATAATATTCGCTGGAGAATATGTCGAAAGTTCTATAGAAAATAACAGAAGAAAAAAGTTGTTCGTAATAAAATACAATAACTGTTATCAAATAAACCATACATTTTAATGAATGTCTTGTCAGAAAAGCAACAATAATTTGAAAGACGACCAATTTTAACATCTTTACAAGCAGTTGTACTGGTCAAAATTGAAGCCTCATCAAATTATTAGAACTGAAAAGAAAGATCAGATTTTCTTTTAAATATTTAAGCTATACGGCACAGCAGCATTACCAAATAGAGCCTTTTTGAGACTCATTTTCCTTCTTTACTTAATCGATATCATCTTCTTAAACAAAGATATTAATTTTTCTTTGCAGTTTTCCACCAAATCGTCTCCAAAATTTGTAGTCAATCAATGTCAGCAATGATTTTCTCATGTACAGATACCACTGCTAAACCAAATCCGTACTACTCGGGGCTTTTTTTTTTTGTAACTGCTCTTTATACAAAATTTTTTATTTACCAGTCATCGACGTTTGTAATCCAAACTCAACAGAGAAGAGCCAATATTTGCAATGAAAATGTATTTAAGGAAATTTCAAATTTTTGATCATTGAAAGAGCATTTAGCTTACGATAGAAGAGGTTAATCCATTTGTGTTGCTTTACAAGAATTTTATTCGTTTTGCTGAAAAATATGTTGCATTACCCATATTCAACTAGAGTTGCAGAAAACTACACTGTTTTCTTCACACTAAAATATAAAAGTCCCATAATGTTAGCATCAAGTTTCTGCTTTGAATTATTGGGGACTACTTGTACATACTTACAGCTTTCTGCTGCAACTACTACAAGAAATCAAGAAATTGACCAAGGTGCTTATAGAAGAAAATACCAGATATACTTTTTTTTATTAAGAAAGGGTAGAATACTGAAGTGATGTTTAATTTCAAAATCTGACTTGACCTTAACAAATTCAGTTCTCAATTTCTACTAATAGCTAGCAGTGTAACCAACAGTGTACGCGTAGCCTAGCATTAAAAGGACTTGTGATGGTTTTTTTGCAGCTCTGAACAAGCTATGGTTTGTATGAGCCTTCCGCGTCGCAGCTGAGACCAGCCTCTGTATTCAGGCGCAGTGCATATATCTGGACAATTCCCTTTTGGGTTACATAGCTTTTGGCTCAGATGGCTCCCAACATCCTTCTCTTCGTCGCTTTTTTTCCCGCCCTTTTTTTTCTAAAGTCACGAAGGTTTCTGAACATGCGGAGAAGTTTCATCACAAAACCTCAAAACTTCTATAGCAATGCTATCACTAGATCTTTTCATTTCAGGGATAGATCTCACGTCGCAGAAGCAAACGCTGCACGGATTAAATTTTGCTGTTACAGAGCAAAGCTATATGCTTAGATGCTTGTGGTATAAGTCTGTTGTTAATGCCTCCTAAGCACTGTGCATGTATTGCCAACCGGTAAAAAGCTACCTCGACTAATTTCCGATATACATGGATGACAGTAGCAAGGGGCTAAATTTTCCGCACAGACACACCAGGTTAGTACTTTAACGGACCTGCGGAATGAATGGATGTGAAGCCGTTGTAACGTTTAGAACTGCGGAATATATTTAAATTGAAAATAGTCTAATCTTTACTCTCAAAGTATTCGTTCTCGAGGACTATTCTGTGACACTTGTTGTTGACAACCGCCGTTGTTGGTCTTCACTGTGTTATTGTCGGCTTTTCTTTTGTCAGCGTTCTGTAGCAGACTTTGAAGGAGTACCAGGTTATGACAGAAGACCGTTATGAAATATTTTGTTCACGCGTTATTTTAAATTGTTTAGTGCTGTTTTTCATAGATTTGTGCTATTTTTTGTTCCATAGATATATAAGAACCCTTAACAATTGAACTATCATTCTATTCATTTTTGTTGACTGTGATCTGTGACGGATTAAATTTTGCTGTTACAGAGCAAAATATACAATACATATCGTTATGGAACTAACAAACAGCTACGCTATTTTTTCAAACAAACGGTTAGTTGGAAAGTTTCGTCTAATTTTTTTTATTTCTTATTGATAAACTGTAAAAAACATAGGTTTTGTCACTTGACAATTTTGTTCTTCTGTAAGATTGAAATCTGAATAAACGAGATTAGATAAATACTTTTCACAAAGGAATAGTTTTGCGAGGGGTTTGTGAAGCGTTTGAAGCTGAAAATTTATTTTTGCCTAATTTCTCCTGTCTTTCCGATGTGGGACACCAATTTAGTGTAATTCGTTCAAAAAGTAAAGTTTTTGCAGTACAGATTTACTAGATGTGTTCAACTATTGTTTTTGCTGTTCGGATTGGGGATTTTGGTTGCCTAATTTTTGCATGACAGTTTGAAAACTAGCTGAGACACCAGTAAGTTTTGTTTTTAGCTTTGATAAAAAGATTCAGTCTGGTCATTTTGATGGAACAAAGAGAGGTCCAGAAGTTAATTGTCAGGCACTTAGTGATGCTTTTCTGAACAAGTATGTTTTTCTTTTGTATATTTTGTAACTAAGTTATTTGTTTAACCAGCGGTGCTCTGAAATGGTGTTTAATGAGTTTTTTGTCAGAGCTTTCTTTAAAGTCGAAATATCTGTAATGTTCCAGCGGTGAAGAGATGGTGAGAAAATTAGTGGATGACCGGTTGGATCATTGCGAACCACATTCTGCTCCACCTAACTTACCAAACGATAGAGGGTCGGTTTTTTTCCCCAGTCGGTTAGAGAGAACTTAATCAAAAGCTAGATTTTTTGACAGTAACTGGATCACTTATGAAATGTCGGCTAAGGGGCTGGCAACAAATTTTAGCTGGAATGAACTTCATTTATCTGGAAAGGCTGACAGGTCTTTTCAAATTTGTAGAGTAAATGATTCAAATGTTCATGAACAACTTCCCAAACTTTGTGAGTTCGATGGAAATGAAGGAAGACTTAAAGGGACTTGTCGGGATACGTTGGGGAAAACGCCGAAACCTGTACTGTGTGTTCGTTTCATTCATACACTTGTGATTTCTCAATAAGGATTTATCTATTTTCACCATTTCTTACTTTTCTTGTGTTTAAAAAAGTATATTAGAGAACATTTGAAAACATTTGGCTGACGAAGTGATAAATAAGATTTCTTGCTTTTAAAGCCGTTCCTGACTAATATTATTATGGTTAATTTGCAGTCACACTAAGCTTATTTTTTTAGTGTAATTACTGTCGAGCTCTTGGTCACTGCTGGGTGGACCACACTAAAGCCAACTGCCCGGCTCTAGCTTCTTTAGGACCGTGCAGGATATGCAAAGCTAGCGGTAGTCAAAATCATACAAAAACGTAGGTTTCCAGCTTTTACAAGCGACATTTGTTTCTCTTATTACTAAAGGTTTTGTAACGTTTAGTGACGTTTTCTTAACTTCTCTAAAGTAAAAATTGTTTTGTAAAGTCATACCTGCTCCCGATTTTCAGATATTGCCCCCAAAAAAGTAAAGTTACTTTAAAGAAAAAGCAGTGTTCTTATGCTCCAGAATGACGAGGCAGGCCAATGGCGATTGTTGCGTTTATGTGCTTAAGTTATCAATGTTATGGAATCTTTTCTAATTGGAAATGTCCTTTAAGTCTTTATTAATATAGTTTTCATTTGAATTTTATTGTGCTTTGCAAATTGCCTAACAGTTTGGTCTTTTTCCAGTGCTTTTTGCCGTTCCTGTTTCTCCAGTGGAACGTTTTTGCTCCCAATCTTTCTTTTGTAGCGTACTGTCTAGTTTCTACATGGCCGATTATTTGGGAGTAGACTTGTTTTTATTGCTAGTTGGTCAGTGACTGATTCTCCGGTAGAAATTATTTGGCAAGAATAATTTGTCCTTTAAAAAATTAATTTTATTTCCAGAGAGCAAACTATTACTAACTCTTGTTTAAGTTGTTATTATTTGGCCGTCATAGGTAAATAAATGTTACTGCAATCGTAATTTAGTTAGTAAGCAAGAAAACACATTTTGTCACCGGTACAGCTTAGTGATCGACTGCATACATTAAAACTTGGAAGATGGTTAGTAGAGTAAAAAACGTCCTCTTTTTGGTTTCGCTGAAGCCGGGATCGTTTTCCTTTTCAGTTTCTTTTTTTTTTCTTTTAAGGCGGTTCATGCGGAGCTTGGCTGGTGCGGTTGCTTTTGAACTGGGATGTATGGTACGGTTCTAGTCTTTCCCAGTTACAGAATTCTTCCTGTACGGGAGTTTTTGTTTTGCTGATTTATGCCGGGGGGAAGGGGGAGGGAGGGGAATCTGGAAGGTCTTAACTTTTCAAGTTGCCGAAGGAGTTCTGTCTATTCATATCGTATACCGCTGACTGGTGTAGTAGATTCAGGTGAGTCTAGGCGGTCTGATAGTTCAAAAGTTTCATAAACGATGAGCAGTAACTGTTCAGTTCGGTAGTGATGAGGTGAAAAAGTAAGAGTTGAACTCTGTTTTACTGGTTATTCTAGGCGATTATGGTGAGTTTGGAATGCGGAAGTGTTATTGTAATCCGTATTTTATAGTTGAAAAATTCTTACGCATAATTCTGGCCTACGAGCAGTAATGAAATTATGAAAGCATTAGCAATGGCCTTCGGCAAGTTGCACAACTTATGGTACTGTTGGAGTGACGGCCATAGGACTGGCAGACTTTTTATTTGTCTAATTTTGCATAACAGTGAGATGAATGTTTTATATGATGAATGTTTTCTTTTGTATCCATTGGTTACGGAACGGATAAGCAGCTTTTTGTTGTTTTAGAAACTCATTCCTTTTATTAGCACAGAATAAGTAAATTCTTTCTGCGCATGAGTGATTAACAGTTTTGGAAGTTCCAGTATATTTTACTTGTTTTTGCCTGTTTTTTCTAACATGTGTGCGCTGTTGGTAGATCAAAACTATGCGGTATGACAGTTGTTTTTTGCACCTTACACTTATTGTTTCCGGTTGTGGTAAATCTGTGGACAGGATGGCATTGGAGGTTCAGGGTTTTTTCGATTTCTCTATATTAGATTGTCGTGAGCACCTATTTTTCTGTTTCCTAATCAGAAGGGCAAATTCTGGGTTTATCAGGTATTCCAAATGGAACTTTCCGGGTTTTAATGTGATTTTGCTTTTGCGACAGTATAGTACTGTTTGATGAAAATTTATTGTGCATACTCTAACATGAAACTGTTGCGTTTATGCAAACAGAAACATTAAATATGCAACGGACGAGGATGTTATTTTCGTTTGGGTTTTGAAGATTTATAAGCAGCAAAGGTGCGATAAAACAAACAGTAAGAAGTTGCGCTGATGGATATTGCATTTCAAGACTGTATCGGCTTGTAGCAGTTGTACGTCCAGTGGTCATTCATGGTATGTAACAACAGCTTTTTGTCTAGCAAAATTTTTTACTTTGCTGTATTCTATTGTATTTGGCTTACAGTTCCGTTTTTTGCTTCTTTGCAGGCTTTCCTTTCTTACTGCTTTCTTTGTCGACCTTCCTCTTCGTACCTTCACCTTTACCTTTTTGCGATCCTTTTTTCTCGGTTGTAGTTTTGCCTTTAGTTGTATCTTTTTTAGTGGGAGAAGCTTTTTTGGTTTTGGTTCCTTCTTTTGGTTTCTTCGACTCACTTTTTGGTACTTTTTTTTCCTTTTCTTGATCTTTAGCATCTTTACCTTTCTGTTTTGTTTTTTCACTAGTCTTCTCTTTCTTTCCTTTGACTTTCTTTTTTTCTTCCGTTTTAGCTGTTTGCTTCTTCTTCTGTGAGGCTGATTCTTCCTCTGTCGTTTCGTTAGCTTCGTCGCTTCCTTTTGCTGGCCTTACTTTTTTTTCGTCTTTATGTTTCTGCGTCGACTTTTTATCGCCTTCTTCGGTATGCTTTTTAATAAATGCCGAGAAAGCAGCAGCATCTCTGTCGTTGTCAGTATAATAGATAGGCTAAAGAGAACAGCTTTTTAAAAGGTCAAAAAAGTTACCTCCAATTGATGAGCTTGTTTTTTTTTAGTCTTTGTGATCTTGAGCGCTCCTAAATGTATAAATCGCAAACCTTTTTTTCTCCGTCGACAAATAAACCGATTGTTGGCACATCAAAAATGGGAGTCTCTGGAACTTCGTTAGCTGTTGAGTCAATTTTGGCAATCATTATTTCCTTGTTGGAATTATACATTAAGCCAAGTTTTTCTATTTCGGGCATAGTATTCTGACAGGCTGTGCACCATGGGGCATCTGAAATCTCAAGACGGAAATTTCTACTGTAAAGTAAACAGAGCAACTGTATTTTTTTTTGAACAACAAGTAGAAGTATATTGGGCATTTAAACTGTCTAAGGATCATGGCATTGTGTGTCTTACGCTGCGCTTCTCACAATATTTGGAAATTTTCAGAAATTTCCAATTCGATGAAATTTTCAACTGATTATCATCAGTCTAAAATCTAACATAAGATTTTTATAAATATGCATCTTATGTTCTTTCCAAAATCACTTTTGTTAATCACTGACTAAACAGTGCAAAAAAGGCTTCTTACAGAAAAACACAAAGGAGGTTTTCCCTTTCACAAAAACATTTTCTTCGAAATTTTTGCCCACTAATTGTTTCACTGGTTTTGCGTCCCAGTCTTCTGGTACATCTTCACTTTTCGCAAAGGAAACTGCTTTTCCTGCGAAACAGTCATCGATAAACTGTTCGATGTTCGCCTTCGTTATCTGAAATGACACATGGTATTTAACAGGTTAAGTAGATTAGTAATGCGAGTACTTTATGTTGTTTCGGCTCTTTTTTGCTTTCTCGACTTTATTTTGTTCGTTAGCATGCAGTTTTGCAATGATTTGTTGCTTAGAAATATTTGATAAGTTGTTACTTCGTCATAGGGCATCTTAAATTTGGTAAGTCCTTTGTCGAGAATAATGAATAGAACTGCTGGTATATCTTCGGCAATAATTCCAAGGTACTCAATTGACTGCCAGTTCTCTTCAACATCTGTGTTTAAGAATATGAATTTAACCTGAAAACAATAATGAGTTGAACGTGTCATCAGTTGAGTAAAACTACAAAAAAGGTCTTGGAGGACGTCAAAAATATGTTGACGATTCAAAAAGAGATGGAAGTGTTCTGTAGAGGAGGAGAGTCTGTCTTAATTACATCAGTTGTTTGCTTTTTTATCGTAATTTATATTTTTAATTTTAAGATGGAGTGCATTATGATTATTTCAGAAAAAGTTGTTGAACCAATATTTTGACCATATTTTAGTTACTGAATAAATCAAAATGCTTACTTTATTTTCATATTTTTGGGCAGCTTTGTTATATTCGTCAACAAAGTCGTCGTAATCATCAGAAGCTTTTGATTCAATCAGTAAACTGTAGAACTTGAAGTCCGGTCCAAATGTTGATTGTTTGTTATTCTTGTCAAACTCGAATACTAATTCTTTAAGTTTCTGCTGAAAGTTTGAATTAATTTTATTAAACCTAATTTTTTTCATTTCTTTTTGCTACTGTTGTTTTTAATGTTAAAGTTTGGTTCCTAATTTGTATATTTGTCATTTAAAGGCATTTGTTTTGATAATTGTACAATTAGGAAATAATTCATGTATCAGCGTTTTGTAGAATTTTACATTGCAATTAGAAATTTTTAAACATTTTTGTGTGCTTAAACTGTGTTTTACGTACCGAAAAATCTCTGTGACGTATGAAAGGAGGAGAAGGCAAGTCTATTTTGTGTAAAGTTTTGTAAAGTAATTTCGTGTTGGTGGCAAGAATATTGCGAAAAGTTCTCATTTTCGAAAGTTAAAGAGTTCTTATTTCTTTGTTTATGAGAGTAATGAAAAAGTGAAAGAAAATTGTGCAAAGAAGGCTGGAAAAGTTGTGCAAATGCTTTTTCTTTGGTGGGGGGAGGGAGGAGGGGAACTTCAAAAAAACAAGAAGAAGATAAAGGAATACTATCCTAGAAGATTGTAAAAATGCATGGAAGAATTGTTAATGCTGTATCACACTTGGTGTTAGTATCAATATTTTAATTTAGAATACTTAAAAATTTTAACATTGTAATCTTGGTTTTCTTCCTACATTTTTTTCTTTCACTGCTTTCAAATGGTTTTGAATAAGACGTTACTGGAAGACTGATCTACCACTGTTTAGTAGGCAGGATGACACATATGCATTTGCTCTCAAGGGAATACCAAAATGGATTGAATAAGTTTTTACAAAATTATATCTTGTCCGCTACGGTCAACTTTTTCTACTTATGTATACTATTTGCCCCTCCCAAAAAAATTAAAAAGAGTCTTAGTTACACTAATGTTAGTGAATGAGGTAGGCTTAACTTACTTTTGAACTGCCAGCAACAACAGTAATTACAAGGAACAGCGTCAGTAAGGAAAATAGGAAGGCCCGCATTATGGCTCGTTGTCGATTTCGTAATGCATCAAAACTAAAACTGCGTTGTTCCTAAATTAAAGGTCGTTTTCGTCGTTGTCACCGCCGTCACTGGTTGTAGGTAGGTAGGCAGTAGTTGTAGTAAATGTAGACTGGTCGTTGAAATGACGAACTTAACCTTCAAATGTCCTAACGTCTTTTGTGTCAACGGCAAAACCTCATTTCTCAATTTCTCCTTCCAAACTTATCTGCACGCTTATTCTTTCTAAACGATTTCCTAAGTTGATACTTTTTTTCTTCCCTTCTGTTTTCTTTTTATCAGGAACCTGAAATAAACTAGCGTATTTTTTTGCGCTATAAAATAGTGTTTTTATCTTGGTTATTATTGTTTCAAGTATTATTGTTATAGCTGTTATTGTTATTATTTTATTGTTGTTGATATCGTTTTTACTCTTATTACTGTTATCATTTTTACTAATGATATTGCTGCTATTTTTGCTATTATTTTTAATGTTTTTAAATATAAATGTAAAATACTTTCTGTTGCAGTGTGCTAATTACGAAGCAATAAAGAGTTGTTCAACTTTTTCTCATGATAAACAAAAAAAAAATATTCTGTCAAGTTGCTTTTAATAAGTCATTCAACTTTAGAGGCGTGTGGTCTGCAAATTAAATAAATGCAGTGAGTTATTGGTCATAACCGTTGGTCTTAAAAAACTGTCGCAGATAGCTTTGAGTATAACAGGAGACTAGTTTTATGAATAGGATAGTTTGTAAATGCTTAACAGTTATGGCATTATTATAACGGTCAATTATTATCGTAGAAGTGGAGGGTTGAAAGGTGGGTATTTTATGGCTGTCGGTTTGGATCAGCTTGATAATTCATTTTAGTGAACTTGACCTTACTTGATTTATACATTGGTTTTTTGTAGTGGAATGTTTGACTGAATGTAGGAATTATATTGTTCAACGTTAAACAGGGGTCATAACGTTCGTTTATTTTGGTTGTACTTTATCGACTGAAAAACCATTAGTTGCGTTATTGTTCATATTACGTTTATTTTGGAAGTGAATACAGTCAAAAATCTAGTTTTATTTTTGCTGTATAACAGTTCCAGTTTTAGTGGTTTCTGCTGATTTGAGATTAAAATTTTTGAATCTAAAAGTTAATTCTAAAGTTTACAAATAGTTATCATTTTAAAATACAGTTTACTGTTCTATTTTGTAGCAGCCGATATGAACATTCGTAGGGAGCAATCAGCGATGAACTGCTACAGAACTAAGCAACAAGTTGTCGGCCCTGTTTTACAATAGGGTGCTTAGTGCCAAAATATACCTTTTTTTGCTGGTAATTTATTGTCACTTTTTTTATATGACTTTGGGTGTTTCAAATATAATAAGCATGATTGCGAAGAATTCTGCGTACATTATTACCTGTAGCAAATTGAGCTTTTAAACAGTTTTCCTTCTCTGATTTTCATTGTAAGCCTGTACTTGTAGCAGAATTTTTGAATAGTGCTTCCGCAATCTTTTTGCAAGCGTCGTGCTGATGTTGTTTGGTATTGGTGTTTAATAAAGCTTAGATAAAAAAATTGGCAATTTTAAATTTTGGTCTTTAATACTTATTCGTGGATATGGTATTGTCGGCACTATATGTATCTAATTGTTGGGTTTCTGTTAGCTTTCTTTTATACTTTTAAAGCTAATTTCAAAGGGTGACAATGAAGCCAATGAAAGAAGAAAGTAGCCTCGAAGCGAAGTTGGTTGAATTTTTTTTACAACAGGTCTCATTCGAAAAGGGAAGTGGATTTTTTCTAGGCTTACTTTCTCTTTTTATTTTATTTTTTTTATTTTTTCTTTGGAATATCTAATTTATTGCTAAAATAATGTGGACTAAATTAAACTTTCAAAGAGGTTTTCCAGTTACAACTGAAATGGCGCTAATTACGAACGAGGAGTGAAAAATGTATTCAGAAATTTAACTGAGCAACTAATTGAATGAATTACTTGTAGTTTAGAAATTAACCAAATAACCAATTTTTTGAGATCCTTCCAAACAAATTAAGAAGGAAAAAAAACAAGATCAGTTCTTTATTTTAAAATCTGTAGCAGCGAACTTTTATGCTCAGAAATTGTTCGAGGCAGTCTTTTCTTTCTAACTTTTTATCTGCTGTCCCCGTAATTCCAATTTGTCGATTGAT